AATCGTGATTAACTGATTATTCAAATAATTGTCAACTAATTTAATAATTGATTAATCGTTAACTTGAGTACAAAGGCTAAATAAAAACAACATCTTCAGAGCAGTAATTAAGCCAAAACTGAACAGATATATATATATTATTTTGCAGTTTGGTTTGAGCCAAAGCTCTGCTGGTTTTCAAAGTGAGAGTTTGTTCTCTGCGTAAATCCAGTCAGAGATTCGGAACATGTTTGCATGCCCTCCGGCTTCTTTCCAACACTTTCTAATATTGTGTCAAACTGTGCTGGGCTGAGAAAAGACGGCATTCAAACCGGGGGATCATTAGCAGTCAAACTAGGCCTTAACTGCTAAGCCAAAATAACGATCACACTCAAGGACTGAGCTTGGCACACATTCCTCTTTTCTTTCTCTCTGCCGCTTTCTCCCCTCTTCACTTTTGATTCCACAAGACACAGAGGCTGACATCTTTGAAAAATGACCTAAAAGCGAAAGCGTAAGGCAGACAACAGGAAAAAGAGGAGCAAGGGGAAGGATTTTAGCACCACAAGGGGCTTCAGTATTAGCAGGGAGGAAAAGGCTTCAAAGCTGTCAGTGATGCCCAAGGGCCCAAACGGCAGAGAGCGGTCGGGATGCAGAGCAGGAAACGCGATGGAAGCAGGTCGGGCTCCAATGAAATGTTCCGTTTATCCACTTCCTCTCAGCATGTTGAATGTAAAGATAAAGTCACCTGTTGATGAATGTGTTACAGCTATCATCTCTGACAGTGTGATATAAATAACTGGTAATTTCCGGGTCTTTATCAGAGCCGTACGGCAGCAATGATTGGACCTTTTCTACCTGCTGGTTCCTGTCTGCAGCCAGTCAGAACCGCCGTTCTGACTGAGCTGAGAAAATAATAAATACAATGCAAATTATAGTGTTGATGTAAATTAACTAGATTAAATATGAACAACTATGCAGTTTCAATCAAAATTTTGCTAATAAATAGGGCTGAAACAATTAATCATGATTAATCGATTACTGAAATAATAATTAACTGGAGAATATAGACTCAAAGAACGCCATTTATTGAAAAAAACAACATATTCAGAGCAGCAAGTAAGCTGGCACTGTACAACAAATATATTATTTCCCATTTAAGACTAAAAAAACGTATTTGCCTGTAAATCTCTTCTACCCAGAATTAATCAAATCTCAGAGTTTTAGCTTCACCTGATTCAGATTCTTGTATTTTACTCAAAAAACTTATTTTCTTATTTAAAAAGGAATTTAATTACTATTTACTTGCATTTTAATGTATTTCTAATGTATTTAACAGACTAAAGTGGTTAAGAGCAAAATCTGTAGAATGTGGCATTTTTTTTAGTCCAATTAATAGAATAATCATCAGAATAACCGATAGATTAAAATAATCACCATGAAAATACTTCTGTAATAATTTTGGGGCTTTTAACAATATTTTTGACAAGTTCAGTTCAAGAGTGGATTGATTGTTAAGCCAGTCTTGTTTATTAGATTTATATGGACATATATTGTATTTAATTTAAGAATCAAAGTAATAAATTATTAGTTTTAGTAGTTTAACAACAGAATGACACAGCTTTTGGCAGATTTATTTTTGCTCAACTGAGAGCAAAAGCATCTCTTACAGAAGCCTGATTACTTCTGATGTAATTGAATTTAAATATATATTTTGGACGATATGTATATTATTGACCCTGTGTGAGAAAATCACCCAGGTCCTGTTAAAACTCAAAAAATTAAAAGTAATATTTACACTTCTGATGATTTGACCTAAATGTTTAAAATCCAGGCATGTTTAAACGTTTTATTTTAAAATATTAGATTCAAAATGCTCCTATTATTTTTAACTAAATCACCACCACATTAAAGTGGAGCCTGAAAAAAAAAATAACATTAAGCTTGTTTGGATTTGTTAAGCCATAAGCTGATAATAAAATATTAGGTTTCTGTGTGATGTTTTAGGAAGCGGAGTCTTTCCCAGCTTACCTGACTCACCTGAGTTCAGTTTTATTCCTGATGCTGTGGACTGAATAGCTACTTTGCTGGAGGCGTGCATCGTTTCATTAGCCTGTAAATTACAGACTGAGATCATTTCCCAGTAATGCTTCAACCTTTCATTGACCTGAATGGAGACATAATACTTACAGAGCTGTCATAAATCTAAATGCTACAAAAATTAGCATAGAGATGATTTAATAAGACATTTAATTACATTAAGGTTGAGATCCAATCAACCAACTTTGTTACATATAAAAAGATTACAGATGCCTCAATAAGACATACTTACACTTGAACCAAGATTATTAAAGAATATTAACCCATAAAATGAAGAATTAAATGTATAATTAATAACTGAAAAGACGCACAAAAGGTAAAAAAAAAAAATTTCTCTACAAACTGTTTTTAAAAAGTTTTGAATATTGCAAATACCCTAACTGATTAAAACTCCAGCACTAATTCTGGAGTTTAATCAGATTTTTAAAAACACAAAGTAAACGGTTTAAAGAACTTTATCTGATTCAGGCTTCACTTCTGCTCCTGCAGTTACCAAATTATTATCTCAGCAGAAAGAAGGTGGGTTGCCGGAAAATATGTTTTCAGGCGTCAATTTTGATAAAAATGTTAAATTTAAATGTTAAATTTTTTTTATCTCAAACTCAGATCTCAAATTGATGATCGATTCTGTCAGACTTGGCAGATTAAGAAGTTTTGAAAGGTTTTCTTATATTTCTTACTGAATCCACCTGGCTTGGCTGTCAGAGAAGGAGGAATCAGGAGGGACTGATCAACCAATCAGAGGGAGAGTTGGGGTAACACAATATCTAGGTTGGGTGTTTCAACATTTTACCCGGAGAAAAGAGACTCTTCAGTTGTTTCTGTGCGTCACACATGTATTTTTTAAGTAAATACCTATATTTATTTTCAGAGTGTCTCAGGCGTCAGACAGTTGTTTGGGAGGTCGACCAGATCAGTGCCGTAAATCCACGTGTTGTGCTTCATTTCTACTCGGTGATGCAGTGCTGCTGTCTCTTTGTCATGAGCGACAAGCTGCAGGCGGTTTGAGTGAGAGATGAGATGCGGTATCTAAACGACTGAACCTCAAGGCGGGCAGCTCGGACTGGAAAATGGAATAACACACACACGCACACACAAACACACATGAAAGCATGGCTATTATTGTGGAGACTTTCCATCGACTTCCATTAATTTCTACAGCCTTATCCTTATCCTTATCCTAACCAAAACTCAATTCACACCTTAGTCCTAAATCTAACCCCTGACCCAAAAACAGCGTTTCCCTTTGTGGGGACCAGGCTTCAGTCCCAGTGAGTAGTGAGTCCCAATAACGTCGTATGTATCAGGCAAATGGTCCCCATAAAGTATTAAAAACAAACGCACATACAGACACATGCACATGTACACACACACACAAACACACACACACACACACGCACACACACACACAAACACACACACACACATAACCTACTGATCCCACACAGTCCAGCCCATCACCCACCCACTAAATTTGTATATCTCGCTCTCTCCTCGTCTCATTTTCCGTCGCGCTGCCGGTGGCTGTGTGCAAATTCACTTACTGTGCAAATGGAAAGCAGATCTGCACCATACAGTTTCATTTGGTCTCATATTCCTGCTGCAGGAGAGTCTCTTCATGCTGCTCTCCAGCACGTTTCAGATTAGATTAGAGATTATTCATGCAAACTGATGCACAAACAATTCATTCCAGACTCACTCTCACTGCTGCATCTCACTACCAAGGCTTGTGTCGTCCGCTTTGGGTCGGATGTTGTGCAGAAACTTTAACTAGAAGCTGAGTTTGAATGTTCAGAACATCATATTTTTAATTAAATCAGGTTTAGCACGAACAAACATCTTCTTCCCAGAAGGAGGCGAATAGATTGAGATTTTTTTTGGTGCTATTTCTGAATAAATCATAAATGAGAAATGTCTTTACATTTCAGGAAAGCCAATTTTCAGGACTGATTGCTTCTCATTTTTCTCTCCTTACAGATGCGAAGCACTCGAGGTGTTTCTGTTTGGCCTGTGGGATTTGTGGGTGGCCGAACATATGAGCGCCCCCTGGTGTCCGGGGGCAAAGTGGTTGGTTGGTACACTGGCTGGAGGCCGGATAGACCCTTTGCTACTGACATGGCAGGTAAGAAGCAAAATGGAGAGATAATGAGACTGACTTTTTCTGCCTCATTGGAAGAAAAATGTCTTGTGTTTCAGGTAACAAGATGCTAAGAAGTGATTATATATTCAATATCTAACCTCAAATATTCAATGTAATTCAACACAGTTGTTGCTAAAGGCAAAGTAACTCTCAGGGTGCATTCAGACCAGCCCTGATTGGTTCGTTTTCGTCAAACGCTGGTTCGTTTGGCGATGTATGAATTCGCAATCAAAGTCTGATGTGAATCAAAAAAGCAAACTCTTGCCGCCTAAGAACTGGGTCTCGGTTTGGTTGAAGTGAAACTGGTGCGGTTTGAATGCAGATGTGAACACCAAGCGGACCAGAAACTGCTCCAAAAGCAGGAAGTGGGCTACAGCGCAGGGTATTGTGGGTAACTACAACCAAAACAAACGCGAGAGTCCATCGCTAGCAAGAGAAATGACTTGAAAGGCAAATATTTTGTCTTTCGTAATGATAAAATTCTCTTTTGTCATTACAAAAGACAAAAGATAAATCCTACAACCCCTAAAATTTGATGCCATTTTTGTTCACATTTTGGAAAAGAAAAACGGAACAAAAGTTTCATTTTTGGTTCCAAATCGAACCGGACTGTCAGGTGTAAAAACATCCTCAAACATGGTTCTGGAGGAATTTTGCTGCCATTCAGGTTTCCAGCAGCCCAACAACAGAATCTCAGTCAATGTTGCCTTGATTCCTTTCTTTTCTGTAATAAATGTCCAGCTATGATTCGTTTTATCATCCCATTGATGACCCAACTTCATTTGCCTCCCTTTCAACTCTAAATACTGTGAACTCCAATGACTGCTGGAAAGGACAAATGTTCATTCTTGTTGGTTGTGCAGGAGGCTCTACTTATGCTTTTCAAAGATGCACAGCTGTACAATTTTGCATTTGTTTGTAGCCATTTTGACGCTTGAGTGTAAGCGCCAAGTCGGGGGGTGTGGCCAGCAGCCACGTCTTTGGATTTAAAGCAACAGGAGGCCTTCAAGCAGCTCATAGGAAGAACTGAGAAGAGTAAACTCTCTCCACCAAATCTAAGAATGATTTGGTGCAAGCAATGTAACAAACATGTTTGGTAGACATATCCTAACCCCTTCAAGGAAGCAAAATAGGTCACAGTTGCTCTAGAGCAGGAAACTCTTGTTTCTACAGAGCTGATCATACTGATCATAGACACCTGAACATGTTGTAAAATGTGGGAGATAATTTAGAAACAAGCCAGTTTCTTCATTTTAACTTTCTAGTCCTTTACTGAAAATAAAACCATTCTTTCTTTTTCAAGTTCTCAGGTCTCGTCGATTGAACAGCTGAAATCAGACTGAATATTTTTGATTTGTTTGCTGCCAGCTGGGGAAACACAGATACTGAGTTGCGCTCTCTCCTTCCTAGCATGTCCACACGAATCACGCTGCTTTCTATTGAGCTGCTTTTTTTTTCATGGATTAATTTGCCATAAAATGAGATCTGATCTTTCCAATTAAATGTTCCAACTGTTACTCCTCCACAGAGGAGCTGCTACGCGTCTTTGCTTCATAGTTTATTCCTCTGATGAATCACTAGGCGGGATTCAAGAGCCTCGCTTAATAAAACGGTGCTGATAAGCGACAGAGTAAACAGTTTCAGGATAACTGATTGTGAAAAATCCATCACCTGATCATGTCTCTTGCTTCAGCGTTTAAAAATATCTCATCAAACACAGAAACGGTTAGAAAGTATTTGAGTTTTTGAATAATATTAAATAAATTATGACATTACTAAACAATTTACAAGAATCAAATCTGAATTTGTAGATTAAAATATATTCAGGAAGGGCTGGTTCTAAAGTTTAGCAGATGCATTTGATCCACTAGCAAATTTTGTCATCAGGTTTGCACACATTTCAGGAATCATTTTGGTCATTTTTTGTTTTCTGCACTGCTGCTTTCCAAATCAAAGCTTCAGCTCACTGCACACACCTACAGGATTGAAACTCAGACATTTCTGAGATTCAAAAGTCCAAAATTTGCAAGAAAAACTCAAACGGTGTCAGAAGTCGAAAACATTCCACAATTGGAAATGTTCTGAGCTTTAAAATTCCAGCACTTTCAACCTTTGAAGCTCAGAATTTTCCAAGTTTCTTTTAGAATTTTTCTGGGATTTATCTCAACATTTCTGGTCAATCTGGTCAATCTCTCTGAGTTCTGAGAACAGACACTTTTTGTTGTTTCTTTTGTCTTTAAAATTGTTATTAAAAGTGTTTTGGACAGATTTAAGGATGTAATCATTCTTTTTTTAAATAGCATCAAACAAATAAAAAGTACATTTATGACAAAAAAAAACTATACAATTTCGTCTATCTACTATAGGTGAGATGAATTAAAATACAGTAGTTATTTTTCTTGCTTTCGACATAAGAATCTAATCAAACTCCAGAATAATGAGTACATAGACCAGACGTTGCACACAGTTTTTAAAAAACTTAACTTACAGTGCTGACGACCAAAGGAAAAGATGAAGCACATGGATCCATCAATCTGTTTGCACCTCCTTTGTAAAAATCCAATCAGCGTCTCTCCAGCCTGGGAGAAGGTAATTCATCACACTGACCAAATAACAGCGCAGCGTCCGTCGCCTCTCGTTATTTCTCCTCACTATGGGCTTTTTCGGGGGGAGCAGTGGATGGTTAGAAAAACTAGAGTTGAAAAGAAAGGAACATGACAGAGCAGCAGAGGTGGATTCAAGTGGCTTTGGCGTGTTTTTCTGTGTTTTCTTACCCAACTGCATGCTAGCACGCTAGCAGTTCTTATCCCTCCATTTTCTCTTAAATCGTCCCTAACCTCACAATGTGCACCATAATTATGCCCCTTTATTTTGCACTGCTTTGTGTAATTATATAGTCAATTTGTTATGCAAGGATTTACTGCTGCGGATGCGTTAAGATGTTTGTCTTTCCCTTCATTTTTTTATTTTTATTTAAATTTTGCAAAGACGACGTCTGCGAAGAGCAAACAGCCCAAATTTTATTCACTCCTAAATTATTATTCATTGGATTTACAATAGGGTGTCTGCAGAGCCCTCAGCGAGTGCCAGTCCGTGTCTTAATAGCATTGTGTTATACAATGCTGTATTGTTAGCAGACCACTAAAGCCTCCCATCCACTGCTCTGTCTCATTTATCCAGACACAATGGAGCCTGCACAATTACGGTGTGGAGTACTATTCACCTCAGTCTGTATGGGTTTCTCTAATTGTGCACACACACACACACGCACACAGCAGAAGAGACGCTAATACACACCTGCAGTCGCTTGAATTGAGACAAGAGGAGGATGTACACATGAATATGCAGAAAGCATCCAGTTAAATAAGAGCTTGTTTTACAGCTGGAGACAAACGTGTGTGTGAAGACGGAGTAAAAACAAAGCGCAGGTTTTGTGCAGGAACATGCACGGCAGCACAGAGAGGCTTGTACCTTCGTTGAAGTGCTACTTGTGGCTTGGGAGTGCTTTCAGGGATGGGGACATGAAAGTGTTTAACCCTGAGTAACCCCAGTGTTTATATCCTGATGCTGCGATGGCGAGACGGCAGGAGCAGAGAGCAAACTGTTATCATAGTGGGAGGAGAACTTAGCAGAAAAACAACATGCGTGGGTCAAAACCTCACATCCTAATGTGTATATTTATGTTTTGTTGTCCACAGTTTGAGGCTTTTCAATTTTAGGGTGAGATAAAGCAAAACATGCATTAGTTTGGGATTTTGTTCATTTCCAGCTGCTTCCACTTTCAAGCTAACATCTTTTCTGTTGTTTCCCGAAGGTGTTTCATTTACAAAAAAAAACATTGAACTTCTCAGAAAAGCAACAGTGTTGGGAGAAAATCCTTAACCTCGTTGTTCTGATACTTGTTAAATCCTGCAGAACATTTTAGGTTTTATTTGTCTGTCCTGAGTCACGGCTGTATGGCACTACATATCAGACAGAAAGCTTCACAGAGATTCAGGACAGCAAACATGTTGTTGTCATTCGGTGGGACAGGATCTGCTGCCAGCAAGGTCAGTCCTGTCTGAATCAGGTCATTTTTGTTTAAAAAAAGCTCTAGAGGGGCGATGGGACGTCTCCATCCCTGTCCTCTGTCAGTGCTGTTGCTAAAAACCTTTAACTTCTCACCTGATTTTCTTACATCAGGAAACTTTTGGTCTAAATGAGCTTTATTCAGCTTCACCAGGTGAATTTGAGTCAGATTGTGCAAATGTGATTGACAGATTCCTGCTGCTTAAAACAGCAGGTTATCATTTATGTCCAAACAAATGATTAAATTCATCTTTTAGATGCACTTTGTTGTGTTAATGTTTGTTTTTCTAGAAATGGAAAGTATTTTACTAATTCCATACTCTTACTTGTATGGATGCTTTCTTTCTATTTTGCTCCATTTATTCTCAGTTGCTTTAGATAGTGCTACCTCTGTGTTTCACCATAATAATTTACCTTTCTATTTGCCTTGATAGCCAGTTAAGTAAAGCTTTTAATGTCAGCACAAAATTGCTGTATTTTTAGGAAAATGGGTAGCCTATTGTCAGAGTCAGTCTCCAGCCAAGTCTGGTGTTGGGGTAAGATAGATAAATAGATAGATAAATATTGCAACCATTATATATATTAAGAAAGTTTATAGACTTTATTTCGAAAAGATGAGGAAATAAAAAGAAAAAAGAGGATTCTGTAAGCATTCTCTGATCCAAAAATAATTTTGCAATGCAAGTTTAAGCAAAAGCACAATTATTTTTTTTATATATAGCCAGCTATTGCTAAAATAACAAAACAGTTCACTATTACTACAATCACTGTTTTTCTTACAAATTATATTTCTATGTGACAAATACATAATTTACTTTTAAGTGTAGTAAAATAAAACCAGTAAAACCAACCATTTTTTAAACTAAATAGCATAGCTACTTTTTAAGCTAACTAGTTAGCTTAAAAAGTAGTTA